CCTTACTTAGCTTGGATTCAATATAATATTAATTCTCCAGACTTATCAGTTCCTTACTTAGCTTGGTTTCAATATAATATTAATTCTCCAGACTTATCAGTTCCTTACTTAGCTTGGATTCAATATAATATTAATTCTCCAGATAAAATGGAATATATAGAAAAAGACAATAATTCTCTACTAATTTACTGGCTATATCTCTATTTATTTCAGTTTATTAGCAGAATCTAAATCTGCTAACATAATTATTCTATTTCTTTATCGTATTTTATTTTCTTCACTAATGAAATCTAAGTCTTTTACTTTAATTATTTATCATCTTTTTATTTTCTGCTTTTCATCAGCGGGAGCTGCCTACACCAGTAACTTCACATTTAAGAACCGATACAATACTCCACAAGCAGCGCCACCTGGTGTTTACTTCACAGAAAACTTTGATGAAAAGCAATTATTAAACGACATTGAGTCGGCTGTAAGTACAGTGTTGTCTTTATATACCAAGTTGTCAACAATAACCGTTTGAAAAGTACAAACGTATAATAGCAACTGAACTATTATTATAAGTACAGAAATCAAATGTTTATATTAAAATAAATAGTTCAAGGACATTGTACTTCCACTGTGAGATAGATTGTGTTCTAGGCTTCCTTAACCTATAAATATATATAATATGTAGGTTTTGTAGGTTCTTTCAATCTACCAGTACGTGAATTAGATCAATATAATGTGAAGGATTGTTTAACAGATGTTCTAGGTTTCCTTAACCTATAAGTATACATATAATATGTAGGTTTTTGTTTTGTTTTTTCAATCTACCAATACGTCAATTACAACTATATAATGTGAAGGATTGTTTAACAAGTGTTCTAACTTTCTTTAACCCATAAATATATGTAATATGTAGGTTTCGTAGGTTCTTTCAATCTCCCAATACATAGATTACACCCATATAATGTGAAGGATTGTTTAACAAGTGTTCTAGGCTATTTCAATCTACCAAGAAACAGATTCAACAATGGTTGTCTTTTCAGACTGAGTAGTAGTTAACTTTTTTAATTAAGAGATTATTGCCTCTTACGATTGAGTAATGATTGTAGCTTTAGATTTAGTTGTGGTTGTCTCTTTAGACTGAGTAACAGTTGTCTCTTTAGACTAAGTAACAGTAGTCTCTTTAGATTGAGTAACAGTTGTCTCTTTAGACTGAGTAACAGTTGTCTCTTTAGACTAAGTAACAGTTGTCTCTTTAGACTGAGTAACAGTTGTCTCTTTAGACTGAGTAACAGTTGTCTCTTTAGATTGAGTAACAGTTGTCTCTTTAGACTGAGTAACAGTTGTCTCTTTAGATTGAGTAACAGTTGTCTCTTTAGACTAAGTAACAGTTGTCTCTTTAGATTGAGTAACAGTTGTCTCTTTAGACTAAGTAACAGTTGTCTCTTTAGACTGAGTAACAGTAGTCTCTTTAGATTGAGTAACAGTTGTCTCTTTAGACTGAGTAACAGTTGTCTCTTTAGATTGAGTAACAGTTGTCTCTTTAGATTGAGTAACAGTTGTCTCTTTAGACTGAATAACAGTTGTCTCTTTAGATTGAGTAACAGTTGTCTCTCTAGACTGAATAACAGTTGTCTCTTTAGACTGAGTAACAGTTGTCTCTTTAGACTGAGTAATAGTTGTCTCTTTAGACTGAGTAACATTTGTCTCTTTAGACTGAGTAACAGTTGTCTCTTTAGACTGAGTAACAGTTGTCTCTTTAGACTGAGTAACAGTTGTCTCTTTTGAACACAGATGAAAATTCAATATGGAGAAAATTTCATTAGCGCTGTCATCATTGACACGAAGTTAGAAGATGGAGAATTATCCTCCTCAGTCTCACTACAGTTTGAACAAGAAGAAGAGCTTATAAACAAGATATTTTCTGATGAAGCCTGTATAAGCACATCTGAAAATGATGGTTACTGTATCATTCCACCCAGCCTTGTTGTGAACAAAACAAAACTGGAAGAAAGTAAGTAGTGCCGCTTTTGTGTCAACACTTGAACAGTTTGTTACATGAGAAGCCTGATTTCTTTGGCAATAATGATACTTGATACTTGTTTAGTGTAATATAATAATGTCTCATTTTAAACAAGTTTAAATATGTTGATACTTGTTTTGTGTAATATCATAATGTCTCATTTTAAACAAGTTAAAACATGTTGATACTTGTTTAGTGTAATATAATAATGTCTCGTTTTAAACAAGTTAAAACATGTTGATACTTGTTTTGTGTAATATCATAATGTCTCATTTTAAACAAGTTTAAACATGTTGATACTTGTTTTGTGTAATATCATAATGTCTCATTTTAAACAAGTTAAAACATGTTGATACTTATTTAGTGTAACATAATAATATCTCATTTTAAACAAGTTTAAACATGTTGATACTTGTTTTGTGTAATATCATAATGTCTCATTTTACACAAGTTTAAACATTCTGATACTTGTTTGTGTAATATAATAATGTCTCATTTTAAACAAGTTTAAATATTCTGATACTTGTTTAGTGTAATATAATAATGTCTCATTTTAAACAAGTTTAAATATTCTGATACTTGTTTAGTGTAATATAATAATGTCTCATTTTAAACAAGTTAAAACATCTTGATAATTGTTTAGTGTAATATAATAATGTCTCATTTTAAACAAGTTAAAACATGTTGATACTTGTTTAGTGTAATATCATAATATCTCATTTTAAACAAGTTTAAACATGTTGATACTTGTTTTGTGTAATATCATAATGTCTCATTTTAAACAAGTTAAAACATGTTGATACTTGTTTAGTGTAATATAATAATATCTCATTTTAAACAAGTTTAAACATGTTGATACTTGTTTTGTGTAATATCATAATGACTCATTTTACACAAGTTTAAACATTTTGATACTTGCTTTGTGTAATATAATAATGTCTCATTTTAAACTAGTTTAAACATGTTGATACTTGTTTAGTGTAATATCATAATGTCTCATTTTAAACAAGTTAAAACATGTTGATACTTGTTTAGTGTAATATCATAATGTCTTATTTTAAACAAGTTTAAACATGTTGATACTTGTTTAGTGTAATATCATAATGTCTCATTTTAAACAAGTTAAAACATGTTGATACTTGTTTAGTGTAATATCATAATGTCTTATTTTAAACAAGTTTAAATATTCTGATACTTGTTTAGTGTAATATAATAACGTCTCATTTTAAACAAGTTAAAACATGTTGATACTTGTTTAGTGTAATATCATAATGTCTCATTTTAAAACAGTTAAAACATGTTGATACTTGTTTAGTGTAATATTATAATGTATCATTTTAAACAAGTTAAAACATGTAGATACTTGTTTAGTGTAACATAATAATGTCTCATTTTACACAAGTTTAAACATTTTGATACTTGTTTAGTGTAATATAATAATGTCTCATTTTAAACAAGTTTAAACATGTTGATACTTGTTTAGTGTAATATAATAATGTCTCATTTTAAACAAGTTAAAACATTGTTACGTCTCTGTATGTTTGTTTGTTAATTCTTACAAGATACAAGTCCTTTCTTTACAAAACTTGTTTATTCTTCCTCAATACAACTTTGTAATGTACTTAATTTTCACAGTTACACACACTATAGTTCACAACAATTCACTCACTTTCTATCGCGCTTAGACTTAATTGTCCGTCCCCGCCAACTATAGTTCCGATCTCTGTGTCTGCTATCCTCAGTTCCCGCCTACCGTAACCGCTGTCTTTCTTTCTCTCTGCCTGCTTCGTTTCCGCTACGTCTTTGTTTCCACTATTGCTTCGACTCCCTCTGTCTCTTTCACTGTCTAGCGCACTTATATATGATAATACTGTCTGTTCTAGAAACTTCTAAGACTCTCAATACGTGCTACCAGCGTCAGTTGACGCAACGATGTTGCAACACACTAGCGAATCTTCTAGAATATTCGTCACATGACCCTCCCCCACTGTCGTAACATGTTGATACTTGTTTAGTGTAATATAATAATGTCTCATTTTAAACAAGTTTAAACATTTTGATACTTGTTTAGTGTAATATAATAATGTCTCATTTGAAACAAGTTAAAACATGTTGATACTTATTTAGTGTAATATAATAATGTCTCATTTTAAACAAGTTTAAATATTCGAGACATTATTATATTACACTAAACAAGTATCAAGATGTTTAAACTTGTTTAAAATGAGACATTATTATATTACACTAAACAAGTATCAAAATGTTTAAACTTGTTTAAAATGAGACATTATTATATTACACTAAACAAGTATCAATCAACATGTTTTAACTTGTTTAAAATAATTGTTTAGTGTAATATAATAATGTCTCATTTTAAACAAGTTAAAACATGTTGATAATTGTTTAGTGTAATATTATAATGTCTCATTTTAAACAAGTTAAAACATGTTGATACTTGTTTAGTGTAATATAATAATGTCTCATTTTAAACAAGTTTAAACATGTTGATAATTGTTTAGTGTAATATCATAATGTCTCATTTTAAACAAATTTAAACATTTTGATACTTGTTTAGTGTAATATAATAATGTCTCATTTTAAACAAGTTAAAACATGTTGATAATTGTTTAGTGTAATATCATAATGTCTCATTTTAAACAAATTTAAACATTTTGATACTTGTTTAGTGTAATATAATAATGTCTCATTTTAAACAAGTTTAAACATCTTGATACTTGTTTAGTGTAATATAATAATGTCTCATTTTAAACAAGTTAAAACATGTTGATACTTGTTTTGTGTAATATAATAATGTCTCATTTTAAACAAGTTTAAACATTTTGATACTTGTTTAGTGTAATATAATAATGTCTCATTTTAAACAAGTTAAAACATGTTGATACTTGTTTTGTGTAATATCATAATGTCTCATTTTAAACAAGTTTAAACATGTTGATACTTGATTTATATAATGCTGGTTTAATTCAACAGTCGTTTTAGAAATATTGGATTATGTTGGTCTTGAAAGAGAAATTCTAAATTTTTCTGAATGATTTGTTTATGTTTACCATTTAAGTATTTTATTTTACATTTCATATATTTGTTCATATATCCATCCTACATTCAGACTTTATACAACAAATAGCTTATTGTGGTTCGTTTGCTACAACTGAGTTTATGTAAAGGTTTCTTCTTGGGAGAATTGGTGCTCGTATTCCATCACTTTTAAACTTAACCTTTGTGGTTATAATGATCCATTATCATTGTCCAACTGAAGTTACATTTATAAACTACAATCATTGTTCAAATTATTAGGTTAAAATTGTTACCATGGTTGCATACTTGTGAACAGATGACACATTTAAGTCCTATGTTACCATATCCTCTGGACTCTACTGATTGATCCACGAATCAGAATCTTTTTTTCAAACTTATAACCAGTCGTCACTCTCAAGCTGAACCCTTATTTAAAATAAGACATCTTCATAGAAGTAAGTTTAAAGTAATAATAAAGTAAAAACATCGTTCCAAACTGTGAGAAACCAACTACCATGCTCTTGCTGAATAACCAAGATCATCATGTTATATCTACATAGTTATGAATCTGGAACAATCCAAGATCATCATGTTATTATATCTATATCCAGATTCATAACAACAATCCAAGATCATTATGGGTTATGAATCTGGATATAGATATAAAACAATCCAAGATCATCATGTTATATCTATATCCAGATTCATAACAACAATAACATGATGATCTTGGATGATCTTGGATTGTTGGTTATGAATCTGGATATAGATATCATGATGATCTTGGATTGTTAGTTATGAATCTGGATGTAGATATAACATGATGATCTTGGTTATTCAGCAAGAGCATGGTAGTTGGTTTCTCACAGTTTGGAACGATGTTTTTACTTTATTATTACTTTAAACTTACTTCTATGAAGATGTCTTATTTTAAATAAGGGTTCAGCTTGAGAGTGACGACTGGTTATAAGTTTGAAAAAAAGATTCTGATTCGTGGATCAATCAGTAGAGTCCAGAGGATATGGTAACATAGG